AGAGCCTCCAACCCGCCAGCTCCAACCCGCTCTAAGTATGAGTGAAACGTCAACCCTAACCCTAGCGCACGATGAGTCCCCCACAACAAGCTTGGCGTGGAGTGTGCTCTAATTCCTTGGCCCCACAATAGGAAAAAACGATAATTTTGTTCGACCCTCCCGGGGTACCTACGTGGGCGGGATGACTTGTGTGCACCCTTGGATATTGGATCCAATGCCCTTCGCGGAACTCAATGCCCGTCTAGAAGTTACCGCACTATGTAATGAAACAACATTTTTGTGGTCGTGCAAAGCTGTAGAATGTTCTACAAAGGACTTCAAACGAGAAGCCAAAAGCCCCGTGGTGTTTGAGTGTATGAGTGCGGCCTGCAGCAGTATGCTGATTGCTCGACATCAGACGATACCAAAACATCCAACACGGGTGCAATGCACTCAACATACCTTCTTTGGCTGCGCCGGAAGCACGCACCCCGGCTTGACGCCAAGCACGAGGTGCAATGTGCATTCTTCAGTCAACGCCACGAGTTCAGCCTGAGCATTTTTGGCGCGACCTTCACCAACTGCCCGCCGTTGCATCAAAATGTCGCGCAATACACGGCGAAGTTGAGACAGCATCTCCAACGCCTTTCCGTCGGCCATAACCTCCGGGGTCTCGAACGCAGTGGCATGGTTATCATCAACCTGAGCATTGAGAAAAGAGAATTTCAAACTGGTTGGTATTGGTAATCTGTCGATGGGAAAGGGTCCGTTTCGTGTTCCTGCAACACAGCTGTACAAGGGTTGGCATGCTGCCATGTTTCTGCTACACAGCAGTCGTGCAACGCTCTTTCATGATTGCGTCCTCAAAAAAGACAATAGGCACTCGTTTCTTGGCAGGCTAGAGGTTTACTGAATGGCAAGTCGACCGGGAGAAAAAGCGAATCGCACCGTCTCTGCCGTCGTTGGCTTCCTCCGGCCGCGTGGTAGTACGAGCTGCCACCCGCCTCCGTTCATCCTAACAGCAGTTGTGTGCAAAAAAATAACAAAATAAGCAAAATGTTTTCACGCAAACGAAAAGATAAAGATGCATGGGACTCTTATTGTTATACGGCTTACAGTTGTAGTTGTGAAGCATTTAAAGGCTACCAACCGACGACCACCAGCAGGTGCAGCAGGTTGCGGTCGTGCCGTCGGAAAGAGGAAATCATTCTTTTTGCCTACTATTATATAACATTTTACCGTATATGACACAAGATAACACACTCCCTGGACCGATTTTCTAAGCTCGATTACTCCACGAAGAGGACGCATAGACGAAAGGGTACCTTCAGAGAGCTCTCAACCGGACAGCTTCAACGCCGCCGTTTTCGGCCATGCGACTGCTGTTGCTGCTTTTGAACAATCGAGCTTTGACATTTGGTCCAGGGGGTGTGTTATCTTGAGTCATGTGCGGTATGTACATGAGCAGTTGCAGCGTCAGCCACGCGAGCTACATAGAGGTACCAACACACCGGCGATCTGTTGGGGAGGGAGGGGAGCTGAGCGAGACAGGGAGAGAGAGACAAGAGAGAGAGAGAGACAGAGAGAGTCAGACAGGCAGACGAAGAGAGGTAGACAGATACTGAGAGAGAGAAAGAGAGAGAGAAAGAGAGAGAGAGAGAGAGAGAGAGAAACAGACAGAGAGAGTACATCAGCCGCCGCTACATCTAACAATCATCAGCGGTTATCTGCTCGGCTGGCACGTGTTGTTACAGCAGGAGCACTCAGCTCGTTAGCATTGCATACATGACATGAGCTGCTCAGAACACCGCTAGGCCGCTACGGCAGTAGGTGCTCTTCTTGTTTGACCGTTGGTGGTTTTCATCAACAACACAAGGCCTACAGCAGGATATGTACACGCATTGGATACCTCACCTCGGTCAGCACAACTATCCTGAGCTGGTGCTGATTATCCTTCGGCTGGCACCTGTGCGGAACTACCAGTGCGAGGCCTCCTTCAACGAGACCGCCCGCTGTTGCACTCCGTACCACTGCCAGACCACATATGCACATGCAAAACTCCGCATGAAGGTGACTGCCAGACCTAAAGAAGCAGAACCATCTCGAGAGAGAGAGCGCTGGAGAGAACTGTGAACCGTGCCCGAGCTGCCGTCCCCCCACCAGAAGGCTCGGTCAATCAGCGGCCGAAACTGCGTACAGATCTACTATCAATGTGTAAACACTACTCCATTGCACGCCCACATCCCTGTTCCAACAACACGAGTGAGTTCGAAAGTTAGCGTTAACATTCAAACTCGCTATTCATGCATCGTATTCGGGTATTCTCTATCTTGCATGTAAGTTAGCTGATAAATATATCTAATTATTATAAACGCCTGTGGGACAGCAGTGGGACACCGTAGGGGAGACCGGGTGGGACGTCCCACGCCTGTTTTCGAGCGCCGCGTAGGACGTCCCTAGCGTGGTGCCATGGGGCGTCCCACGCGTCCCACGTTCTAGATTTGGTGTCCCATGGGACGTCCCACGTGTCCCACGGGACGTCCCACGTGTCCCGTGCGTCCGTATGGGCCGTCCCACGGGACAGGTGGGATGTCCCACCTGTCCCATGGGATGGCCCGCGTGTCCCATGGGCCGGCCCACGTGTCCCATGGGACGTCCCACGTGGGATCCCAATAGTGTCAGTACCTGAAGAACACCGATTGGCCAATCAGAAGGCAGCAAGCAGGATCGGATGTGAGACAGAGCAAGTGGGCCAGAAGTTGCCCATGTGAGTGTACGTTGCTGGTCTGTCCCAACAAGCAAGCAAGAGCGCGTTAGCCTGCTGCTGCAGCCAAGAGAGGGGCTCTTCGGAGATCAATTCCTTTCAGGTAAGTCTGTGTTGTTGGGGGCGTTTTCGTTTCTCTCTGTTGGGTCAGTGGAGGAAATGCCGGGGCAGCAAGAAGCGAGAGTGCCTTGAGATACGGGATGCATGTCGCTGTGGTCAACGGTGCTTGCTCACAGGGAGGAACGCTGGCTTGAGCTGAGGAGCGGGCATAAGGCCCAGCAGTAGTATTTAATTGTGGAGGCGGATACGAGGTGAGTACTGCGTCGTGAAGAAGCTGCGTGTAAATTGACTTGAAGTTGCTGCGTTGTGTGTGCAACCCATTTGCATGTCGAAAGCGATTCGTGTCTGTCTCTTTGTGACTCCTGGTTTCGTGGTAAACAAGTCCGCATTGCCTTTCCGATGCTCTCAGCTCAGAAGTTGATCTGCTACATGTGCATACAATATATCTCGTAACTTTCGTTAGCTAACGAAACGAACTACTGCACGTCTGTTGCTCGACCCGCACGCACCCATGACCTGCTGCGACTTCCTTCCTCTTGGTTTAGATCTACATCGCACTTCCGGATTTCGATAGCTCATGGCGGAGATCAAAGTCGCTGCACTTGTTGGTGTCATGACAGCCATGGCCGGGCTGCTGGTATTCTCATCGCCTGCTCGTTGTGACACAGGAATAGTCGCAGCTAGTTTCAAGGTGAGCCCCATCAGGCTGATGCATGCAATCTTCCGCACTACTGACAGTACTGCTAAACCGCCCATGGGACACCCATGGGCCCATGGGTCGCCCATAGGCCGCCCATGGGCACTTCATGGGCGGCTCATGAACTGCCCATGAAGTGCCCGCCGTGGGCAATTCAACCTACACAGAACTACGCCACTGGCATATCAACCTAAGAACGTAGTCACTTGCACATCAACCTACATGTAGAACTTAGCCACCAGCGCCAACCTAGCATGTATGGTGTGGACTTGGGGTTAGGGTTAGAGTTGTTAGCGTTAGGGTTTTTAGCCGCGATAATAGACAAAATGCTCAGACAAAAAGAGGGTCAGATATTTGAATCTGTAGCCGGTAACGGTTTTATTTGTCTGAGGCTGCCCCACTTTTCACCCACGGCTCAGACGAAAACCTCTCACCAACCTCATTTTATCTGAGGCGTGGGTTCCTGTTCAGAAGGCTCAGGTATTTGATATTTGAGCAGCAACAGAGTAGTAGCGTAAACCACAAAAGATGGCATCGCATGGTACAGACTCGTCCAAGCCTCATGTCACCACCACCGGACAGACAGACCTGCTTCTCCTGCCATGCGGGCGGTGTGCGTCTGTGTGTAGATATGTGGTGATCGCTGTGGAAGGAACCGAGGGGAGGGTGGGATGAGACAAGCTTCACCAGCAGCTCAAAAAGAGCAACTTTCTCGCCTACAACCAGTTCAGGAGAACACCCATACCATGAGCTGTAGGCCACTCGAACTGCTGGGAGGTGGCCCAAAAGTTGCCTTGTGTTACTCTCTATCGGCGCCATCTCCTCTGCACAGTTGTTGCGGTTTGGAATGCAGCTTAAAAAATCGCTATGTGAGGGGTGATTGTTCTAGGTTGAAGCTGTGCTGTTGCTGCTGCTTGCTGCTGCTGCAGCTAGCTAGCTGCTGCAGCTGACCGCCGCCTCTCGGTTGATTGAAGCAGGACGCCACCTGAGCGGCTGAGAGTTTGCTTGCTAGAAGCCTTGACTGGGTGTTTATCTGCGGTAACAACATCCCCGCTGTTTGTAGGCCGTACTCCGCGTACTTATCGGGTATTGTTTGTGTAGTGTATTAACTTTAGATGGCGAGGCAACGCCCGTACCCAGGGCGCTGTCGTGCTCAGAAAGGAGGAGTGGCAGCAGGGCTGCTGCACACAACAAAAGGGGGCCCCGGTGCATCATCACCGTACCCCTACCTAAAAGGTTCTACACCATCTGCGTCACACTTGTACGTACGGCTAACATATCCAAACCATGTCCGTAGACCCACGAACACCCTCCCTGGTTCTTCACACAAGTGACTAACCATCAGTGGGGCAAAAACACCCCGGATACATCAATAAAATGCCAATACGGTGGTCGAGGGGAAACCCGGCGCCCGGGCAAAACCCCTCGAAAATAAACCCCATCCAACACAAACCATTGCTATCACGGCTGATCACAACGGCCGCACTTATCAGGAAGGCCAAGGCGAAGACAAGAATGCGAGGCAAGCCTCCTACTCCTGCCATTGGTACACAGCCCGCGACAGTAATGCATCTTTCCCTTCCCCAAGCGCTAGAAAATCCTACAGAAACTCCGGCAAATTCATCAGCTTTTTCCGTTGGTACTGCAGGTTGCTCTTGCTAAGAGCCTTGGTGAGCATGTCTGCATGTTGCTCCGACGTCGACACAACCTTGATCGAGATGTCCCCCGACCTAAACAGTCCACGAATGAAGTGGTACCGCACGTCGATGTGCTTGCTACGCGCTGAGCTAAAGGGGTTCTGCACCAAGGCCATGGCCCCCTGATTGTCCTCAAGGACCTGAATGCTACCGCCACTGGTCTCTGGGGCAATAAACGAAAGCACTGCACGCACAAACAAAGCTTCCTTCACACCCTCTCCGGCAGCAATGTACTCTGCCTCCGTAGACGACAAAGATACGATAGCTTGCGTCTTGCTACCGTGGCTGATGACGGTCCTTCCAACCGTTGTTGCCAGCCCTGATACCGAACGCCTATCCTCAGCGTCGGCGTAGCTAGCATCCACGTACACCGCCAGCCCCAGCCCCGATCCCCGTTTGTAGGTGATCCCGAGGTCCCTCGTCTCTTTGAGATAGGCGAGGATCTTCCGTATCGCCTTCCAGTGCCTCTCGGCAGGGGCATGGGCGTGGCGCGCTACCGCACGCACAGCGAACGAGATGTCCGGGCGCGAGAACGTCGACACCCACATCATGCTGCCGATGGCCTCCCTCACTGGCCACTCCCCTCCACCCTCGTCATCTCGCTTCGGCCCTAGGTCGGCACCAGGGGAAGCAGGGATGGGGGAGGTCGATTGAACATCAAAGCGATTCACGATGCTGTCAATGTACGCGGTTTGGGAGATTCTAAGGGTCCCAGCCTCTAGGTCTCTCTCAACGGCACACCCGTCGAACCACACACACTCTCCAAGGTCTTTGGTGGGGGATGCCTTGTTGAGGGAAGCGAGCAACTCCTTGCAATCATCATCAGACCCAGCCACCAAAATGTCATCCACATGAATCACGATAATCATCACCACGACATCGTCTTTCATCTTGCGGAAGACGCACGGGTCCGCCTTGCACTGCTCGAACCCGTTTTCTACAAGCGTGTCGGCAGCGTGGTACCCCCACTGCCTGCCGCTCTGCTTCAAGCCGTAAATAGCACGCTCAGCCTTCACAACTTTGTGGGATTTTTCCCCGCACCCCGCGGGGAGCCTCAAGAACACATCCTCGTCTAACTTAGCGTGTATAAACGCCTGCTTGACATCCCAGTGGTTGAATTTCAATGATTTCTCATTGGCTACCGCAAGCATCAGTTTAATGGATGCGGATGACGGGCAAGGGGAGGATGAGTAGAAGTAGTCCACATTCGGAATTTGCGAAAAACCCCTGGCGACCAGACGCGCTTTGAACTTCTCGATTTTCCCCTCCTTGTTCGTCTTCCAAGTAAAACGCCACTTAGAACTCACAGGTCTACGCCCCTCTGGCGTACCGTCTACGAATGAAAACTTTCCCGTGTCCAAGTGCCCATCAAACTCTTCCCTCATGGCCTGTTCCCATCCCTCTCTGTACACAGACTTGGCAACGCCGGCTACGGTCATGGAGGGGGATTCAACGTCACTCGGACGCTTGCCTATGGGGGATTCTGTACGCAGCTCGGTCGACGCCAGGGCCCTCACGAAGGCGTCTGGAGAGTTGAGCACGAGGTCCTCCGCTCCCAGCAGGAAGTCCTCGGCCTCTTGGCGCGCGATGTTGGCCTCCTCCGCGCGCTCGCACAGCAGCGCTTGCACCGCCCTCGCCTCTAGCCCTTCCACCACGTCGACCACACACGCGAGCATCCAGGGTGGGCAGCCCCGCCGCCGACGCATGGCGGGCGAGCAGACCTTCGGCACTCGTTGGCGACGGCGACGACTCGTACCTCGTGTTCCGGCGAGGGTTCTCCCTCAGTCGGCGGCTGGTGAGTTCGGCCGGCTCGCCAAAGCGGGCGAGCCTCCGTTCCTCGGGCCCGCGGAGCGCCGGCATATCCGTGTCGCTGCCGCTGTCGCTGTCACCGCCGCTGTCACTGCCGCTGCCGCCACCGCTGCTGCTGCTGCCGCTGCTGCCGCCGCCCACATCCGCCATCCCGGTCGACGTCGTAGATGGGGCGACGCTCGCGCCCTCCCTGCTCGAGGGGGCGCCATCGCCAGCGTCGCTCGCGCCCGACTACTGGGGCGCGGCCGACTCCTGGGGCGCGGCCGGCGGCGCCGCCGGCGCATCGCGCGCGGGCGGCTCCGCGGGCCCCGGGTTTACCGCCGTGTCAAGGTGGAAACCTCCATCCTCAGGTTCTCCCTCCGCCCTCCCTCCACCGTGGCATGACGCACCCTCCCCGCCCTCGTGCTCCCCAGTCGTGAGCTCCTCGTCCTCCTCTGCAATGGGAGGCAGCGGTGCTCGGGTTGACGTCCTGTTGGGGATGGGCTTGGATAGCCCCTTTGCCGTCGAGCATCCCCATGCACTCTCGGAGCTGGCCCACCAGCGTCACCCCTTGCGGCTTCGCCGTGTTCTTCAGCAGCATCTCGTGGGAGTGGCCGTGCGCGCAGTGGAAGTCGTTGATGTCAACGGGGGTGCGGTTCGCTTTCGCGTTACCAGGAGCAATTATGGCACAGGCTAGTTCCCTACCCGACTCTATGCGGTGACCAGTCTGAACGAACAGGTCCCCCCATAGAGGGAAGTACACCGACTCCCCCCCACCAACGAACACCTCCAACTCGTGCTCGTCTGCGGCTAGGCGACCCTTGGTTTGTTTCAAGAGGGCTGTGAGGGACACGAGGTTGTAGTTGAGCTCCGGCACATGAGCGACCCGTTTCAACAACAGGTCTGTGGTCCCAACGCGAGAACCGATGGTCACCCTCACGTCGCCATACCCTACGATGGCGAAGGCTTGCTTCCCTGCGGCGACACTCAAACGTCGATCGCACTCATGGTAGTTTTCGAACGCGTTAGCGCTCGGGAACATGTGGTTGGTTGCGCCGGTATCGGCCACAAACCTTTCCTGCCTGGCCTGCTCTACACCCCCTCGATCAACGACTCTGTTCCACTCGCCTGTGAAGTCACGGACCACTAGCGCCTCCTCTGCCACGTCCAGTGCGGTGGCGTCCAAGACCGGCAGCTCCACCGCGAGCACCGCCTGCTCGGACGAGCACGTGCTCTTGTCGTGTCCGTAGCCCAGGCACTTCTCGCATCGCAGGGGCTCGGGCTTGGTACAGGCGGCCGCCTGGTGACCCTTCTCTCCGCACCGGAAACAGCGGCCGTGCATGCTACTTGCACCGCCGCCGCCGCCTCCGCCGCTGTTGCCACCACCACCGCCCCCACCGCCCTTGCTGCCACCCCCTTTCCCCTTCTGGCCGCCACCACCGCCGCCGCCACCCTTGTTGCGGCCGCCGCTGCTGCGGCCGGGCGCTCCACCTCTGCTGCCACCGTCGC